GGTTTATATAAAACATTTTACATATAAAATCTATTTTATGCTAATAAGTTTAACTTTGATTGCATACAAAAACACTATACTTTTACTTCCCCCCTTGTATGTTTCTGATGTCATCATTTACCATTTTTCAATCATGTATTCAACAAATTGTTAAAGCTATAGCTATTTTTATGCTTTTGTGCTTTAACCTTTATTCTAGAGTTAAATAGTTAGCACATTATCAGATGACAGTACAAGGGTATTCTGAATCTGGATGTATGCTTACCTTTACCAATGCTTTGTATATTTTCATGTTTTCATGTTACTAATTAGTGTCCTTTTGTTTCAACTTGAATTCATTTTAGCATTTCTTGTAATGCTGGTTTAGTGATGCTGAATTGCCTCAGCTTTTGTTTATTAAATCTTTATTTTACCTTCAATTCTGAAGGAAAACTTTAGTGAATAAAGTATTCTCAGTTGACAGCTTTTTTTTTTTTTTTTCCTTTTAGCACTTTGAATATATAGTCTCATTGTCTCCTGGCCTGTAAGGTCTCTGCTAAGAAATCCACTGATAGCCTTATGGGAGTTCTTTTGTATGAGAAATTTTTTTCTCTCACTGCTTTTTTTTAAAGTTTTTTTTTTAAATTAACTAATTTATTTTGAGAGAGAGAGAGAGAGAGAGAGAGAGAGAGAGAGAGAGAGAGAATAGGGCAAAGAGGGACAGGGAGAGAATCCCAAGCAGGCTCCACACCATCAGTGCAGAGCCTGACATGGGGCTTGAACTCAGGAGCTGTGGGATCATGACCTGAGCCAAGATCAAGAGTCAGATGCTTAACCGACTGAGCCACCCAGGTGCCCCATCTCTAGACTCTTTTTAAATGTTCCCTTTGTCTTTGGTTTTAGAGTTTTGTTATCATGTGTCTTGAAGAACGTTTTGGGTTAAAATATCGAAATAATCAATTAACTTCATGAATTTGGATCTTGATCTTTTAAAATCCATTCTTTGTGTGTGTGTGGGAGTAATATCTACAAATGGAATTATTGGATTATATAGTGATTTTTAATTTTTTGAGAAACCTCCCTAATGTTTTCCATAACAGCTGCACCAATTTACATTCCCACCAACGTGCATGAAGGTTTCTTTTTCTCCACATCCTCACCAACACTTGTTATTTCTTGTCTTTTTGATACTAGCCATTCTGACTTACCTGAGGTGGTATGTTATTGTGGTTTTGAGTTGAATTTCCCTGATAATTAGTGCTGTTGAGCATCTTGTTATGTCTGTTGTCTGTACGTCTTCTTTGGAAAAATGTCTATTAGTGTCCTCTATTTTTTAATCAGATCTTTTTTGTGTGTGTGTGGTGTTGAGTTGTATGAGTTCTTTATGTATTTTGGATATTAACCCCTTATCAGATGTATAATTTGCAACTATCTTCTCCCGTTCGGTAGGTTGTTTTTCATTTTGTTGATAATTTTCTTTTCTGTGTACTTTAGTTTGACATAGTCCCAATTGTTTGTTTTTGTTTTTATTTCACTTGCCTGAGGAGACAGACCCAAAGTTATTGCTAGGACTGATGTCCAAGAGATAACTGCCTATGTTTTCTTTTAGAAGTTTTATGGTTTCAGGTCTTGAATTTTCAGGTCTTGCATTTAGGTCTTGAATCCATTTTGAGTTTCTTTTTGTGTATAGTGTATGAAAATAGCCCAGTTTCTTTCTTTCTTTCTTTCTTTCTTTCTTTCTTTCTTTCTTTCCTTCCTTCCTTCCTTCCTTCCTTCCTTCCTTTCTTCCTTCCTTCCTTCCTTCTTGTTGTTTTTGTTTTGGCATGTAGCAGTCCAGTTTTCCCAACACCATGTATTGGAGAGTCTGTCTTTTCCTCATTACCCATTCTTGCCTTCTGTATTATAGATTAATTGGCTATATAAGCATGGGTTTGTTTCTGGGCTCTCTGTTCTGTTATTCTACATGTTTTTGTTTTTGTACCAATGCCACACTGTTTTGATTACTATAGGTTGGTAGCATAGTTTGAAATCTGGGAGCATGATACCTTCAGCTTTGTTCTTTCCCAAGGTTATGGACTATCTGAAGTTTTGAGTAGTTCTATTCAAATTTTAGGATTATTCTTTCTAGTTCTGATTGCTATTTTGATAGGGAATGAAATCTTGTCATTCACCACAACATGGATGGACCTAGAGGGCATTATGCTAAGTGAAATAAAACAGAAAAATACAAATACTATATGATTTCACTTACATGTGGAATCTAAAAAACAAATCAAATGAACAAACAGAAGTAGACTGATAAGTATACAGAGAACAAACTGGTAGTTGCTAGAGGGGAGGGGGTAGAGGAATGGATAAAATACGTGAAGGAGATTAAGAAGTGCAAACATCTAGTTATAAAATAAGTCATGGAAATGTAGGGTACAGCATAGGGAACGCAGTGTATGATATTGTAAGAACCTTATATGGTGACAGATGGTAACTACACTTATCATGGTGAGCATTTCACAGTGTATGTAATTGCCACATTGCTATGTTGTACAAATGAACCAATGTAATGTTGCATATTAGCTACACTTCAACAAAAAATGCATCATTGTCACAGTTCTCCTTGAAGACCCAAGTCAGCTCATGTTTCTCCTCTGGTGAGAGCCCTATGATGTCCTGCTATGCAGAGCGCAGGCCGCAGGACAGAGAGTGCTCTTCCTAGGGAGGACCCTCCACCTAACCACGCTCCCACCACACTTTCATACCTCATTCTAGTCCAACCACAGCCTTTCTGTGCTCAGGAGTTCACTTTCAGGCCTTTAACCTGCTGTTCTCCCTGCTTAATGTATTCTTTCTCAAATATCCTCATGGCTTGCATTTCACTGCCTTCAGTTCATACCTCACCAGTAAGACTTCCTTGACCAAGCTATAAAAATTCTCCCTCTCTCCATGGAGAGACTTCTCCCTTTCTCCATGCCCTTTCTTTCCTTCCCTCATGACTTTTATCTCCACATTTACTTCATTCTGTGCCTCTCTCCCCTGAGCAGAACATAAGACCTGAGAGGATAGGGACTTACTGGTTTGTTCATTCCTGGATGCCTAATTCCCAGAAATGTGCCTGACACCACTTTTCAGAGTGGGAGCTTGAAAATATTTGTGAAAGAATTAATAAATGAATGGTTACATAAAATCAGGCTGTAGGAAAGGTGATCTCTAAGGTCTCATTCAAATCTGCTTATCCATAATTTTGTACAGTTAAGGAATATTTCCTCTTTCTCACTAACAACTTGGAAATACATAAAACTACTAAGGTAAAAAATAATAGCTTCTGCTGAACTAATTAACATAATTATAATAGCTGCTTAAAAAAATTCTTTTGATGTGTTTTAAAGAAACTTCTTTATTCCTCCCCCAAACAGCCTTGTGAGATAGGTACTATTATTTTCCTTCTCCAAATGCAGAAATGGAGGAAAAGGAAGCATTAGCCCCTAGCCCAAGGGTCAGCAAGGTGAGCACTAAGATGTGGTCAGTGGACCGAGCCTCCTAGCAAGAAGCAAAGGGGAAGAAGGGAGATGAAAAATTTTGTAAGAACAGCTGTTTATTCTAGTTTGTGCTTAAAGCTTTACGTTCTCATTAATGCTCACCACATCTCTGTGAGGGATGCACTATTTTATCACTTTTACAGATGAGGCTTGATGGCACACAGCTAGTCAAAATGCAAGGCTGAATCCCAAACCAGGTGCTTTTTACCTTGCTGTTACTTGTGCTTTATTGTATTCCTTGGAGCTAAATCAAGACCTGCCCATGGGGGAAGGGTTAGGGCACCACAGGGGCCTCTCAAGTTTCAAGTAACAACACCCAGATTTCTCTTAATGTGAAGGTCTATGTAAGGAATAAAAGCCAGGGCTCAGTGAATATGGCCACAGAGTCCCAACTCAGCAATTTAAATGATCTGAATCCATTGTTCTGGGGGTCAGGGAGAAGTAGCATGTCTTCGTGTAACGATTTTCCTCAACACCCAAGTAGAAATCTCATTTCAGTTTAAGAATTGATTAAGGACTAAAATGTCAAATTGGGTAGAGAAATTCCTTTTGAAACCATACAAAAGGAAGCCCCCCCCCCCCCCCCAAGAAAGCACATTCGTCTGGTGTCTACGTCGGGGAAAGAGCTGCTCCTTTCTTGAGTGAATGTTGGACTAGACAAGCACGGATATTTGTGAGAAATTGCCTGGTAAGAGAGAGGGAAATGCAGGCAGGTGGCCTTCAATATATGGGAACAAAAGTATCTTTGTTCTTTGAAACTGAGGAGCACTGGTAACACAAACAATCTCTAATCACAGTTAATTCTCTTTTAAGCATCTGTTGTGAACTCTAGCAACCAGAGAGTGTGCTCTCCGATGGAGGAGGGCAGGGGGAAAGCTCCCCAAGCCCTTAGCGGTGAGCCCAGTGACCGATGGGTGAGCCAGCATCTTCAGGCAGCAAGCACTGTCCCCTCACACTGTGGAAAGAAGAGATGTTCCTCCCGCACCGCCCTCCCCCTCCCCCCCCCCGGCCCCCTGCTGGCCTCTCCTCTTCCTAACACTGCCTGCCTTTGGATAGGTGGGAAGAGGACTCTTCCTTGAGAAGAGTGGATGTGAAGAGGAAACTGAGTCTGAGAACAGGGCCAGCCTTAGACCTAAGCCATGTGAGCTTAGCCCCAGGTACCTGCGTTGCTGAGAAGCCCTCACAAGCCACACACACCGTTTGTGGTCAGCCGAAGGCTGTCCGTTTAAGGTCAGCCGAAGTGCTATTGCTCCAAACCTAACACTGGTTATACACACAAAGTGAGCAAGCTAAAGCTGGAAAAAGGTTGAGTATCTAGGCTATTCCACTACAGAAATCATTTGGCTCTAACGATCTAGATATTATTTTAGGTGCCGTTTGACAAATAACCATCTAAGAAGGATTTTTAAAAAGCAATTTCTTTTCATTCCCTTTGCCTCATTGAAGTAGTGTTAGTTTGGGTGGTAAACAGAAACTTCAACAAGACAATAATTAGAGTGCATTAAATAAATATAAATTTTATTAAAAACACTCACATAGCGTTATCAGGAATGATATAATAATAAACGCTTTCAAATAACCTGCATCCATAACATTACAATACTTACAGTATTTATAACCATCCTCAGGTTTTATAGACAAACCAAACATGAAAATGAAATGAAACTAAGTCTTAAAAAAAGCATAGAAAAATGCACACAGAGTTCATTACCTTAGTGTCAAACTGCAAAAGTTTCCTACACAAGTTAACCACTAGCTTTACAAGTGAACTGTACATACACCACTGTGCGTCAGTCAAGATGAAAAGTTCATTCAAGTAAAGTTGACACCACTCAGAAGCATTTTCAAGTATGGCTATATAGTTAACCTGATATTCCTATATAAGCAAATTGGAGATCTGCTTCCATTCATTCTAACTGAGGCAGGTTGGATATTTACAATTATAGATCTGTTATTTACAATATGCCACTCGGTTTCCTCTCCTCCCTCCTTACCTCTCGCCAAACCCCAAGCTACACTTCTTGTTCTCTTGTTGGCCAGCAGTTTGACAAATGACAGTGGATGGTACGGAAACCAAACATTCATATAGGGATGGCTGACTCAAAACCAACAGATGTGCACGTAGTAATCAAATATTTGGGGTTAGATGTATGACATACGCAAAATATTAAAATCGTGTGGTTTGACATATGCAAAGCAAACATTTTTGAAATGTTTATCAATTCGTCACAGCCAAAAATGGGAAATTGTTTTTCATAGACAAAAATCCTGTTATAAAGACTTGACCAGTAAAACTCAAAGGCCTTGTCTGATTACGAATTTATTTGAAATGTTAGTAAACACAAATGTACTTAGACAAAAATGTAATTGATCAATTGCACACCATACCCCTACGTGTTCTGCCTCTGCGGGGGATGTCCGCTTGGGCCTGGAGTCTATTGACTCCAGGATTGAAACATTTTATCTAGAGTGCTGACTCTAGCCAACAGCCACTTGCCAAACTCCTGCCTTACAAGTTTCCCTTTATCAACTCAGTGCATTCTATTTTCGTGTAATTTTTTTTTTTTTTCCTGCTTGAGACAGTCAAAAGATTCCCCAAACTTTTAAAATGCTTTTCTTTACAATAAAAAGAGCCAACAGATTTACAAAATTAGTTTTAGTTACATCAGGACATATACAAGTAAAATAGGAGGGATTCAAAATAAAAGGGTTAAATCCCTGAAAAAGAATATATTTATTAACCTACAACAATTTTACATAAACACAGGTGACATGTTGGCATAAGGAGAACATGAGCTGAAATATCCCTGAATTTTTAGAACAAAAAGGATGAAGTTCAAGTTATACTTGCTAAGAAATCAAGTATTGAAAAAAGATATGCTTTTTTAATAATAATAATAAAAAGACTTGGAAAAAAATGATGGTACATGATGCTATAAGCTTTCATTCTCAGTTCAATATCCTATTGCCAAACTAGTGTTGAGGTATATGACAAGTAGGAACATCACCCAAACCTTTAATGAATTCTTAGCTCACATTATGATATATTTGTAGCAGGCTGAGTAGCACCATCATGATGTGAATTCTGCTTCAAATCCATATATATATATACACATATATATGTATATATTTAATTTTTTTTACAGTACTAAAATACTAAAGCATTGCGTTAAAAAAGTTTTGTTTACAATTTAATTTACTTACTATACATCTCTTTCACTTCTTTATACAAATTAATGATTTATAACCACCACAGCAAACCAGCTGCCTGTTTTTTTTTTCTTTTTAATTAACAGATTCACATGGAACTAACCCTGTTTATTATTCTTATGCAGGCATCAGTCTGCTCAATCTTCCTGGAAAAGAGGACACTTAAGCTAAGAAATGACAACATCACAATGTACAATTACCAACACAAAAGCAGACTGCCATTGGGTTTGCTGAAGAGCACACAGATCCATAAAATAGCATCAGCTTAAGTGAACTAGCTTTGTTAAGTCTGTAGCATGTCATTGTTAACCTGCAGTTAATAGAAAATTCTTAAAACTACATATTTGAGCAATGAACTTGTCATACAATTTTGTATAAAACTGTTTTACAGTATAGCATGTGAGATGAGCACCAGAAAACGTGGACTAAAGTTATTCCCTTGAATCCAGTAAGCCCCATTGTGGATTTAACTGGCTATATTAAAAATGGACACATTGCTCATCAGCAGATGCATGGCTAAAAGCAAAAATAGTTTAAAAGCTTTCCTTATTTCCTTAAAAAGAATCAACTTTGAATTCTAAAATGAAAGTAAACTTTTTTTTTTTTTTTAAACATCTCAGTACCTTAGCATTGTTCAAGTTGTCAAAGCTTAGGTAGACAAAGTGCTTCTAAAACACCATTTAAAATATTTATACATATACATGTGTGTGCACATATACATATGTGTGTATATATATATGTACATATATACGTTTATTGTCCTACAAGGACTTTACTGGATGAGCAAAATCCAGAAGCCTTTAAATGTCCACATTAAAAACAAAAACAAAAACAAAAACAAAAACCCAAAAAAACCAAAACCTCATGTAAGAATAGGTAATTATGATAAAAATTTGAATGAAAAGGTACCCCTGTTATATTCAAGGGCATTGGAGTACACTGATAGAATCTTGATGATATAAAGGCATTAAATTTTCAAATGTTAAAGACACCATTTTCTTAGCACCATTTCTTAAAACATCCAAACAAATTCAGTGTTTTGCTGTCTATTCATTTATGCTTCCTGTAGCTATTTTGATAAATAAAAGTTAATATTAAGATTACAGTAAAAACTGCATGTTAAAAAGCCATAATTCCAGTATTTCAGTACATTGTATATTCAGCACCAGATGGTATTTTAAAATTCCTGCCACTGTAATACTACAGTACTTGTTTGATTTGTGTTCCATGACTATGCAAACTCGGTATTATTAAAAGTGGTCACAGATGTGTAGAGTTGTAAGGGGGAAAAATCACATTTACATATCCTCTCGTCCAATAATAGAACCAGTGTTTAAAAATGTAAATTGTGGAACACTTTCCTCCCCACCTTCTTTTTGCATAGAATGCTTTGGTCTTTTGCCTAGATGCCATCTGTGACCACTTAGGAGTCGGGGGAAATTAAGTGCTATGGTAAGATGATCTCTTGTTTTGCTGGTGAGCTGAGGTTCTTCCCACCACATTTGTCATGAATCCTGTGTTATTTCCCCACTGCCCACGTCATGAGAACTATACTACGGACAGGTTGGTTGTGGTCTTTTCAAATGAGGTACCCACCACGAGGGGAGACATCATATGTATCTGTTGTAAGGCCCTGTGACCCGAGTGAAGGCATATGGAGATGTAGTTACTGTGGAGTCTGTGGTCACGGACATGGTCCTTTCGGCAAGGGATTTGATGAAGCGCAGGTAAGTGGGCTCGGAAGGTTCATGTGGCTCAGCGGGCTCCCGTTTCACTTTTTTGCCATGGGTTTTCTGAGGCACATAGTCTGGGCCATACTTCTCACACTCTTCCTCTTTCTCTCGGGCTTTTTCAGCCATTTTGGCTTCCCAGAGCGCCAAGCCATGTTTTGGCTCATTCATGCTCTTATGCTGATAAAAGACAAGGGAGATCCTGGTGGGGTGATTCCTATTGGGATTCTTTAAAGGGGTTGTGGCATGAAGCTCGCGCTTGGCACACTCGATGAGAATTGACCCATGAGTTGGAGCCACAGCCACTCCCCCGATGTCAGGATCTAGAAAGCTCTGCTCACTGTCTGACCAGACTTCATCATTGTCCTCGGCGGCAGGGGGCTGCTTTTCCTGACTGCCAGCATCATGTAATTTGTGTAAGCCTTCTTGGACAGGAGCAGTTCTATCATGGTTAAGACCTGGAAGCATCTTAGATAACCCATTAGCTGTGTGGGAAAGCATGTCATTCTCCTTGTTTTGGAGATGCAGGGCATGGAGAGAGCTGTTGAACATGCCTGGAGCTGCCCCATAGTTATGGATTATGTGAGAAGATGGGTGATGTTCGCCATTCTTATAGTCTATGTTTGGATTGCTCAAATTGGGTGGTAATCTAGAGGCGGCTCCCATGAAGTGGCCATCCATCTCATGAGTGGAGTAAGGAGGAAATGTCCCTACATGGTGTACATTTGTTTTAAGAGTACAACTGCTGAAGGCATCTCCTTGCATATTTTGGTTTCCATAACCTAAGTACTTAGAAGTAAAACTCTGGCTATTTCCAAACCTTGGCTGGTAGAGTGTATGGATGGGTGGTAGACTGAGCTTAGAGAGAGGGTCTTGGTTTGGATACCTATATAGATCCATGGACTGAGACTGAGGAGAATAGGAACCCAGATATGGGGAGCAGTTGTCCACTGATACATTTCCATTACATTGATAGGATGGATATTGGTTACTCTGATTCAAAAGCCCAGGGTAGGGATTCATGGGATTAGAAGAATTCAAATATGAACCTGCAGCTTGGGATGAGGTGGAATAGAGGTTCATAGGGCTGGCACCTCCATAAATCTCTGAAGTGTGTGAAGAGCTCGGATAAGCCTGGATAACTGGATTGGGCCGTCTCATGTACACACTGGTAGATCCAGAGGAAGAGTAAGAGCTGACAGACTCTGATTGAGGGTTATTTGTCATGGGGTTATGCTGGGGCAGTGGTGGCGGCGGCGGTGGCGGCGGCGGTGGCGGCGGCGGCGGCTGCTGCTGCTGCTGCTGCGGGGGCTGCTTCTGTGGCTGTGGAGGTTGCTTCGGCAGTTGCGGGGGTGGGGGCTGCTGGGACTGTTGCATGACTGGTCCTGAAAGTCGCAAAAGTTCTGTGGACAGGATATGAGAGAGCACACAAACGTGTTCGATTATTATTTCACAGAAGCTAGTGAGGATGCTTAGCTGTATGTGAGAACCACCACTAAGATTATGCAATACCCATTAAATAAGGACAAGAGCAAAGTCAGGGCTCTGATCACTGTCTGGCATCATTTTTTTGTCTAAAGCATTAGACAAAATAGATCTCCAGAACAGTACAATTTAGTAAGTGAAGAAAAATGTAACAAACATCCAAAAGATATTTGACTGAGAGCATCATGTTTTCTGGAGGTTCTGTGTATCTGACCATGCCACACCCTACCTGAATCGCCCTTCTCCCTCCACCCCATCTCCCTGCCCTTCCTTGAGACAGGTATCCCTTCCTCAAGGAAGCCTTGTATGACCTCATCTGCTAGTGTATGTACAATACCCACTGAAAACATAAGTCAGAGCAATGTTTTGTAATATACTGTAATTGATCATTTTTAGCCCTCTCCTCCTCCTAGCACAAAGCAGTTCCTTGAAGGAAGGGACCATGTCCCTTTTACTTTATTCCTCCAATGCCTGGGGCATGCAGTAACAATTTGTTAAATAGTTGGAAGTTGCATAAAATTTGTTATTGAAGATTCATCAATGCTACAAGAAAAGGAATGACATTCACTTAAACACCCAAAGCATATCTTCTATAATTGGCAAACCCTACTTACACAGTTGTCAATAAAGCTTTAAAGAAATTTTCAGCTTTGTAAATAAAATTTTCATACTTCTATTTTATGACCTCACTTAAAAATCTACATATGAGAAGTGAACAAATAAATGGAGCTGTAAGGGCAGTCTTGAGAATTGAAATGATTATTACAGAAATCAGTTAGAAAAGACAGGAGGAAAAGTTCTACCCCAATGATATGATGATACGTTATGGTTAACTTACAGGAGAGATTAATGAGTGAATAGGATTTACTGCTCTTAGTATAAGTCAACCAACATATATTTATTAAGCATCTTTAGCACATTATTCTAAATTACTTAGTTTCTTTAAGTTTTGAAATGAATTAGTAGGGAACTTTGACTTTGTGAAGCAAACATGGTTGGCTCTCAGCAAACTGGTAGGCTAAACTTAAAAGATAAACATTCTTCTTTTGTTAATGGTCAGGTTAACCATCTGTGAAATGAGACGTGGACATTACATTTATGGCTTTTTATAGCAAATAACTGAAGATATAACCAAGGGGCTTTGAAAAGAAAATATCAACTTAGTACTGATAAATAATGCTCTATTGCTACTGCTAGAGATGTGATCTGTTTGCATAGGTAAAAGCTTTTATAAGAGAACTACACGTGGATACTCCTCCTTAACTCAAGACTTAATATGGCTACCCCTCCCTGATAAATCCTATTTCCAAACTTCTTATTTCAACAAATAGTACTGTCTTCATTATCTAGGCTTAAAATGTTGACATCAATCTTAAATTTTTCTTCTTCTTCATTCTAATGTTTTGTCACCAATGTAATGATAATCATTTTGGAAGCATTCGCTACCATCATTTTTGCCAAATCTTCATTGCTATCATCCAGACTCAAACTTTTATTACTTTACTCTTGGTTTATTGCATCTGTCTCCAAACTAATTTGGCCTCCCTGCCACTGCTAGATTAACATGAATTTCACCATGTTACCTACCTGTCATATAAAACTTTGCCATTTATTATAGAATAAAATCCAGACTTTTCCATCAAGCTGGGGTTGAGGGTGCAGTATCTCATTACCATGTCCAAGAGCAAAACCTGGCCCTTGGGACTTCAGAGACAATTCTAGTACAAAACTGATACCATGATCAAATATAATCATCCAAAATTAACTCTTCATTTTTAACCTAAGTTTCATATAACATATCTACAATGCTTCATATTACATTTACCTGCCAACTGTTTAGCCTGGCTTGCGTTTTCAGTCTGTTTTGTACGAGATGAAGCTGACTTGTCCTTTTCGTTCTTATTTGTGCTGTTCTCCAGAGAGGAAAGCTTTTCAGCTGCAGCTTTCTTGGCTTCTAGTTTCCTCTGTCGGCATGTCTTGACAGGCTCTGCTAACATCCTGACTTTCCGCCGAAAAGAACTCAGCACCTGAATGGCACCACTTTGTTTTTTCTCCTCCTGAGCTTCTACACTCCCAAACTCATCCACATCAGAGACTTTGTAGAGAGGCAGAACATGGAGCTGCTCGTCCTCAGGTTTCCCTCCAATTTCTCGATTGTCTTCTCTAGTGAGGGTGCATACCTGGTAGGGAGATAACACAGTACTGCCTCAGTTTCAGTCTAAAAGAAACTCTGTGTGTGTGTGTGTGTGTGTGTGTGTGGTACTGCCTCAGTTTCAGTCTAAAAGAAACTG